CCCCCATACTAGCCCAAGGAAAATCTGTTACTATTTCTCTTTATTCTTCATTATTAAAAAAAGGTGGGAAGGGGGTTCAAGCAAAGAGAAGAGGGAAAGACTGGTGACCCCTTCCAACAGCAGGAAAGTAGTGTGTTCACTGAGCTCTTATATTTGTGGTTACACCAACAAGCCAGACCATGTTTTATGCTTTCTCCCTTATTTTTTTTTTCAAGGTTTTTGCCTTATAGAGAGGCAGAAATGGGAAGTGAAAAATCACCCGCTCAAGTGGATGGCTACACCTCAATCTCTTCTCCTTCACCCTTTTCCGGGATTTCGGGCATCAACACACATATGCCCATCATGATTTTCAAGCTGCCAGGTCCAGGACTCAAACCACTGTCAGTCATGTGAGAGTCCAAAACTTTAACCACCATGTCATCTGCTGGTCCCCTCCTTTATTTTGATTGGTACATTTTCTTTGATCGCAAGATTTTCTTTAAGTAAGTTCATATCTGCAGTGATTCAGGACCCTCAGATGTGAGCATGGCCTCTCTCCTCCGAAGAAAGTTCATAAAGATAATAAGCTAGAGACACTTCTAGCAGCCAAACTCATCTCTAGAAATGAGGCAGAGTGCCACAGAAAGCTAGTTGTGACATATACAGGATGTGGGACTCAGCCTGGCAACTCAAATCAGCCAGTGACCTTTTGCAGAGAAGACAAAGGCAAACATGCAGAGAAGCAGCCATTACGTTGGTGCCAAAGTTCCACAGGTAGAACAGGTGCCTCCACCCCTGCCTGGCGCCACAGACCAAGCTAGACACACCCAGACCTTCCCACTCACAAGTCCACCACCAGGACTCGTCTGAATTCAAGTCAATAGAAGCTAATTGCTGTGCGGATAGGTGAGAGCCATGTTTGGCGCCAATCAACATATGCATGATTACCCAACAAGGAAGATGGTAAAGAAAAGCAAACACATGCACACACACACACACACACACACACACACATATATATATAAAAAATATATACAATTCTTTTGAAATGGACTAAGGAAAGTAGAGAAACTAGAACTGAGAACAAATAATATTAGCTCAATGAGTATAAAATAAGCACCAAACACCTATAAAGTAATTTTCTAGTTCCAGAACTAGAACTTCAATGATAAACCAGCATACAGTTCCAGTTGGCCTCAATGGCACTTATTAATTTACTGTAAACATAATAGTTAGATAACAACCACCTAAACAATGAAAAGAAACTAAAATAATAATATAATAATGATGATACTTTTTATGGTTACAACTTACTAGGCACCTATTAGGTACCAGGCAGTTTACTGTGTTTAGCTAAAGAAATGAACACAGCCTAACCTGTAACAGCCTTGTAAAGTATGTGTTAGTATTTCCATTTTACATGTAAAGAAACTACATCAAATCTAAATTAATATCTTTACCAAGAATATTCAGCTAAAAAGGCAAAACCGTGACTAAATTCCAATTAAACTCTTTCTACTTTACCAGAGGTCAACGAACTATGACTCTTGGGTCAAATCTATGCTGCTGCCTGATTTTATAAAGATTTACTGGAGGGGCTGGCAGGTGGCTTGGTGGTTAAGGCACTGGACTCCCAGATGGCTAACCACGGTTTGAGTCTTAGGCCTAGTGGTTTGCTTTCTCACTTTCCCTGTCTTTCTCTGGTCAAATTAGAAATAATAATAAATAAAAATTTTAAAACCGTTATATTGGAACAAGGTCCATCATTTGTTCATGTATTGTCTATGGTTGCTTCAGGCTTATAATACCAGAAATAATTGTGAGTAGTTGTGACAGAAATGATATGCTCCACCCCCAAAGGCAAAACAATCTGCTCTCTGGCCATCCACAGCAAAAGTCTGCCAACCTCTACACTGCAGTATGCCATTTGGGATTTTTTTTAAAGGTTGAGCATAATGAGTATGTTCAGAGAATTATGAAATTCTAAGAAATGGGAGTTCACTGCAATCAATTGCTTTCTTAACAACCACCCTAAGGCATTCTGCCCAAGCGTCGAGCTTTCTTTCACTCCTTAAAAGCTGAGTCAGAGAAAGAATATATGAGTTCAGAATACAAAAATATTAATTTTATTGCCTAATTTTTTCATGTTCTCCAATTCTATCTCCAGTTTCTATTCACTCAACTTTTCACAGGATGGTTCACCAAACTAGACAGTTAAGAAAGACAGACAAGGAGGAACACAATGAAAAAGCAGTGCTGTCGTTTTATGGAACCTCCATCCCATCTTCAGACTCTTCTCACCTGCTATTGGTGCACTATGAAGGAAGGGCACACCGAATCTCAAGGTTTCATGAGTTTAGATTTGTTAGGTTGATGCAAGCTGTGGTGGGTAAATGTAAAGAGCAGATAACAGGATGTCAGTATGGAAGACTCCTCAGGTAATAACCAAATGAGAACCAAGTAGCAACAGAGACCCTTCCGTCATCCTTTCTACCACATGTTCAACAGAATCTTGCCTATGGCCACAGCTGTATCCTATTCCTCAGCTTCCATGTATTTATTCATTTCACATCCTTTCAAGGCTACACCTTCGATAGAAAAACCATTTGGTAGGTGCCTAACAAAGCATCTGGCATCCATTAGGTCATCGGGAAAGGCATCCCAAGGTTTCCTCTGCAAAAATGCATCATGACTTTCCTGACATCCTAGTAATAGGCACTCTGTCAATATCTGGCAAACTCGACTGCTGATCTTATAGGACAGGTAAAACTGTATCTCCTCAGACTGCTCTTGGGCCAAAGTCAGCAGGTGTTGATTGCTGGAGCAAATAGCATCTCACCATTCAAATACAGAGGACAACCTGCTGGTTACATACGGTAAAGATAAAGAATTTTACCTACAAAAAGCTAATTCTTAACTTTTTAATCAAGCCTTGTATCCATTTCAAATAATTGTTATTATATGTTATGCTTTATGGACAACCTTGTTTTTAATTATGAGGTTTTTATTGGAGAGGCAGGTTTCGGGGTAAGTCTGCCATCTGACTTGCCCGCACTTGTTAAAACTTTTTATAGTGTGACTCATTTACATATGTGTGTTTGTGTTTAAGAGTGCTATTATTAAATTTTGTTGGCATACAGTGAGGGATTTATGCTCAACTCTGTCCACAAAAATATCTCCCCCATCACCCGACCTATCCTTCTATTTATCAAAGGACTGGCTTTAGCTACTTGTGCACGCGAAATAGAAGCAACCATGACTATGACTGTGAAAATCTTTTAGGTAGCATAGTGGAGAGAAAACTAGGGGAAATGAGTAAGACAGCAGAAGGTATGGATGTGATTTCCTTATGCCCAGAGTCTTTACATTCGTAGAGACTACCTGAAGGAAAAGTTATTTCCACAACCAAATCAGTAAACGACAATGACAGATCAGTGCTACAAATTACCTGCAGGGAAAAAGAGAAAACGTAAGTATATAAACCTCTTTAAAAAAATAGAAACACTCCTATAAATAGAAAATTGAAAAAATTGAAATGACATGGGCGGCAATGAAATAACTCCACAATGATTCGAAACTACCAAGTCCAACCCTTTGCCAAGCAGAGCACTGCAGATACAAAGTTTAAAGGACAGTAGTTTGTGACTGTGGAAGATTTTCTATACGTGGCTATTAACTTTAGGTTTCCAGCTGTTCTACTGAGTAAGAGTACTAGAAACACTACAAGGAATGAAAGGAAGTAAGGAGGTAATGAGAAAGGAAGATCAGAGAGAATGGGAGAATAAAAAATTTTAAAAAGGTACCCATTGTTAGATGTCACAGTCTGTTAGAATTACAAGCACCTGGGGCCTTCAGCCAACAATTTCACTTGGTTACACCTCCACCGAATGACTCCTGGAAATGACTCTTGTGGACTTATGTTATATAAGGAGACTTCAAAAAGATAGTAGAAAATGGGATTAAAGTACAAGTTTTTTTGGTTTAAAAAATTTTGAAATCCCTGCATAGTTTTGTCATCATACACATTTTTCATGAACTTTCTTTTTTTTTTTACAACTGTCCCCTTTTTATTTTACTTTTTAAAATCAGGATAGTGAGATCATACAGGTAAATTTTTGTTTAATCTCTAAACTCTCCTGTTGATGCAAATACATTGTTTCTTTCCTTTTCAACAGGGAACTTGACGTTTTTGCATCTGTCAAATATTCCCTCCCTTGCACCTCACATCCACCCTGCACCACCCACCTTCTCATCCACTCTCCCCACTTACTGTCTCCAGCATTTACCCCCATCCTCTCCACCATCACATTTTCAAGTCTCTCGATCTCTGCCATAGCACTCAGTACAAGTTGAGTAGGAATACGCAATGTGTATCTTTCAAAGTCTGGCTCACGAGCTCGCAGGTGGTGGAGTGATTACAACACTAGATTCCCACATGACTGACTGTGGTTCAAGACTTGGACTCTGCAGCTTGCAATCACAACAAATAAATAATAATTTTTCTTTTTTTAGTTTTGCTCATTTCACTCAACATTAAGTCTTCTATATATATTCATTTGAGACAAACTTTTTGAAGACTTACCCATTCCTGTATTGCTGAATAACAATTTACCCTCCTACAACTTAAAAACTGAGGTTAAATACCTATGGATCAGGATTCTTTTTTTTTTTCTTTTTTGGAGAGGTGTTTTTTGTTATAGGGCACATGCATTTGCCAGAAAGACAGAGACAGAGAGACAGAAAGTGAGAAATCACCCCCCCCCCGGGGAGATGGCCACACCGCAATCCCCACTCCTCCATTCTCCTCTCAGGATCTTGGGCACGCATGCACATGCGCCCGGCGTGAATTAAAATCACTGGGTCCAGGACTCAAACCGCGGTCGACTACATGGGAGTCCAGTGACACAGCCATTACGCCAGCTGCTGGTCCCCAGATCAGGATTCTGAGACCCTTCTTCAAAGTCCCTGACAAGGCTTCAGTCAAGGTGTCCACCAAGGCTGGTGGACATTCAAAGGCTCACCTAGAAATGGGTCTGCTTCCAGTCTAACACAGGCAACTGCTAACAGGACTCAGGTCCTCAAGGGATGTTGAAATGAGGGCCTCCATTCATTGCTTACTGTTAACCAGAGGCTGCCTTCAGGTCCTTTGCTCTCTGAGCCTCTCTCCTATCGCAGCGTATTTTATCAAAGCCTGTGAAAGAGAGAGAAAGTGAAAGAGAGAGTCTTATATCAAGATGAAAGGCACCATCTTTTACAAACTTAGGGCAGTAACATCTTCTCAAGGCTTTCATATTTTGTTGGTTAGAAGCAAGCTATTCAAGTGGAGGGGGTTACCATGGATATTAGGCAGCTGAGATAATCAGGAGCTATTGGAGAAGTTGCTACCACAAACATGATCCACTGTTTCCGCTGTTCATCTGTTTTATTTACTTACTGGCTCTCATTTATTCACTTTTTTTTTTTTTTTTTTTGTATCTGGTCTATATTTGTCTTAGTACAAGAGCCCAAACTAGTCAGGTTTCAATATATAAAATTTTACTTTTAGTTCTAAGTTTGCATCCCTCCAAAGAGTTGGTGTCACAGTAGGAGCATCGGGTTGATACACAGCATGAAGTACCAGGCAATTTATCAACTATGATCTATGAACCTTATTTTCTCCTCTTTGAAGTTGAGATCATTATTCCAGCCCTGTTTACCTCATATAACTATTATGAGGAATGAGGAGAACAACATATATCAGTGTTTTCCAAAGTGCAGTAGTAGCACTGGAAGTACTTGAGATAATTATAGACTATAGGTACAGGAGTACAGGTAAAAGGTGTTTAAGCTATTCCCTTTAGAGAGCATTAGAAAAACATAACTTGCACAACAAACCCATGATTTTATAGATAATGTTGCTTCACTGACACTTCAGTAAAGTTTTGAACAGGTGAATCGATTCAAAGAAAAATATCAAGAAAATAATGTGATAAGTGGTGTGAGAATGCAGCAAGCATTGGTGTTGGTGTACAAATGACTGCAGAGAATATGAAACGCTCCCTAATTACATTGAATCCTGTTTATTAATTTATGCTGGTTTAAGAACATGCGTTCTTTAATACCAGCAAGGTAAATCTGGTGAAAGACACACCACTCGAAAATTCCATCCTAAACATTTTGTCCGCAAAAAATCCTTCCCCTATACTTAACAAGATATTTATATTATTTGTTCCTTATTTTCTTTCCCAGGCAAAATGTTAGTAACAATTTCATTTGTTGAGAGCTTACTGTATGCTAGAATGTGCATTTTGATTAAAACTTACTTAGTTAAAAAAATTGTATTATTAGATCTTACAATGAAGAAACTGAGTCGTAAGCAGTTAAATTGAGTGACTAATGTCACTCAGCTAGTAACTAGCAAAGCTAGAAGTTAAACTCAGGTCTATGTGACTCCAGAACATATGTAAATTTTACACTGCCAATAAAGTTTTAAAAGACTGAAATTCCATTCACTGTGCCCAGACCACATCTTTTTCCCCTTACACTGTTACATTACAGCAGTATTCGTATTTTTCCCTCTGGAATGTGGGAAAATATATCAAGGCATTAAGAACAAGGTCAGAGAATGAGTCATATTTTGCCAAATGCCCAGACAGGAGATGCATGCTAACCAGAATAGGAGACGCAAACTCTCACTCATCCCCGAGGGCAGAGGAACAAACAGATAAAATTCAGACACTTTGTAGAATTCCTCCCAGGCAAGGGTGTCAGTTACATTTCTCAATTCTTCTCCTGTATGACCTCTCTAACAAGAATCATCCTACAAGAAAAGGAAAAACTGCATTATCTGTGGGCTCCAAACACTCAGGGAGCAGTTTAACTGCAAAGAAGTCTTTCCTCAAGAAAAGACAACATCTCCTGTTTGCTCTTTCAGTATGACATGTGAGTTTTGGCTGAAACTAGATATTCCAAGTGATAAGCAGAGCTGAAATGTGTTTCATTCTCTTTCAAGAGCTTTAAGCTTTATATCTTTACATCTAGGGGAAAAAAAACTTAAAAGAATATTTCAATAAATCTGATTATTAAAGATATAGTGCACTAGCCAGCAAAAATTAGAATTCAGGAGCTTGCAAAGAGTGGAATGCTTCCATATAGAAAATACTATTTTCTGTACTCAGGTTATCCATTATCCATTTTGTAAAATAAAACAAGTTTGTACTTATTGGAATCATGTGATAAAAACATCATAATACTCAGATCTTACTGATTACAAACATGAGGTAAAATGGACTGTGAGAGAAAAATACATGAGTATAGAAAACTAAAAGTAAAGATTTCAACAAGGCATTGAAATATATTCTAATAACATACAGATTACATTTAGAAAAGATGTTTTCCCATTGTTCTTCCCTTTTACACAAACCTGGAAGGGGACCATCCCTCCGCATAGCACAGGCGGCAGTAGGTGTGTGCCTCTGTGGTACATATCACCCAACTACCACAGAGTCATGCAAGTGGAGGGGAAGCATCACAACATGGTCACCAACACCCTCCTCTTGGAGTCCTTTGAAGTGTGCCAGCCACAACAGTCCTGTAAAATATCCCATAGTCGGGATTTGTCAGACCAGTTTCTCTGGTTAGATTCAGATCAAACATTTCATCAAAACCCCATTTAGATAAACTTCAACTGCGTATGGCATATGGTTGAGGTTTTAACTGGCATCTCTCTCTAAATTCATTTTCCTTTTTTAAGTAATAAATAAATCTGTGGGGTACCAGCAGTTGGCATAAAGGCTATGTCACTGGACTCCCATGAGTCCTGGATCCGGTGGCTTAAACTCACGCCGGGCACGTGTGCGTGCATGCCCAAGATTCCAAGAGGAGAAGGGATTGCGGTGTGGCCATCCCCCCGGGGGGTGATTTCTCGCTTTCTGTCTCTCTCTGTCTTTCTGGTGAGCACATGCACCCTATAGCAAAAACCTCTCCAAAAAAATTAATGAATAAAATTAAAAATAAATAAACCTGTGGAATGCAATCATGGGCTAGTCTGTTCCCTGGCCACAGTCTACAAATTTCATCACCCCTGGGCAAGGTAGGTGAATGTCACAATATGATGACTTTTTTTTTTTTGGCTGGTACAGTGTACTTTTTTGATGGTTCGTGACAAGGGGGGCTCCTCACCCCTCACTTCTGCAGGGGGCAAGGAGGGGAGCTTCTCAGTGTGGTGGGGACTGAGCGGGAACAGGGCCTCCCCAGCAGCTGAGGGCCTCGTCCTCGTGCTCATGCTGGGGCTGGTGATCGGGAGCTCTACTCCTTGGAGGCTGTGTGGACCATGAGGTTCACCACCCTGTTGCTGTAGCCAAATTCATTGTTATACCAGGAGATGAGCTTGACAAAGTGGTCATTGAGGGCAATGCCAGCCCCAGCATCGAAAGTGGAGGAGTGGGTGCCGCTGTTGAAGTCGCAGGAGATGACCTGGTCCTCAGTGTAGCCCAGGATGCCCTTCAGGGGGCCCTGCGATGCCTGCTTCACCACCTTCTTGATGTCATCGTATTTGGCAGCTTTCTCCAGGTGGCAGGTCAGGTCCACGACCGACACGTTGGGGGTGGGGTCACGGAAGGCCATGCCGGTGAGCTTCCCGTTCAGCCCTGGAATGACCTTGCCCATAGCCTTGGCAGCCCGATGGATGCTGGCCGGTGGATGATGGGATGATGTTCTGGGCAGCCCCACGGTCATCAAGCCACAGCTTCTGTGAGGGGCCATCCACAGTCTTCTGGGTGGCAGTGATGGCGTGGACTGTGGTCATGAGTCCCTCCACGATGCTGAAGTTGTCGTGGATGACCTTGGCCAGGGGGCCAAGCAGTTGGTGGTGCAGGAGGCATTGCTGACAGTCTTCAGGGAGTTGTCATACTTCTCATGGTTCACGCCCATCACAAACATGGGGGCATCGGCAGAGGGGGCAGAGATGATGACACTTTTGGCCCCATCCTTCAAGTGAGCCCCAGCCTTCTCCATGGCAGTGAAGACACCGGTGGACTCCACAACATACTCCGCACCAGCATCACCCCATTTGATGTTGGCGGGATCTCGCCCCTGGAAGATGGTGATGGACTTCCCGTTGATGACAAGCTTCCCCTTCTCGGACTTGACGGTGCCCTTGAACTTGCCATGGGTGGAATCATACTAGAACATGTAGACCATGTAGTTCAAGTCAATGAAGGGGTCGTTGATGGCCACGACATCCACTTTGCCAGAGCTGAAGGCAGCCCTGGTGACCAGGCGCCCAATATGCCAAATCCGTTTACTCCGACCTTCACCATTGTGTCTCCAGGACGCGGCTGGCACTGCACAGGAGGACGCAGCTGTCTGTCGAACGGGGAGGAGCAGAGAGCTGAGGACTTTCTAATTCTAAGATATTCTCTATTATCTACCATTCTTCTATAAAGAAACCTTCCCCATTCACTGAAATATTTTTAAATTTAGTGTGGTCTAAATGGCATCATCATTCCTTTTGCTGTTCAAATGGTCCCAAATTTCTTCAGTTGGAGAAAAAAGTTAATTGTCAAAAATAAGGTAATGGCTCTTTCCATCCGAGCAGGCACCGGTGCAGCAGCGTTGGGCAGCTATGGCCAAAATTAAGGCTCGGGATTTACGGGGCAAGAAGAAAGAGGAGCTGTTGAAACAGCTAGACGACCTGAAGGTGGAGCTGTCCCAGCTGGCGTCGCCAAAGTGACAGGCGGAGCTGCGTCCAAGTTGTACGCAAATCTATTGCCGGTGTTCTCACCGTCATCAATCAGACTCAGAAAGAAAACCTCAGCAAATTCTACAACGGCAAGAAGTATGAGCCCCTGGACCTGCGGCCCAGGAAGACCCGTGCCATGCACCGGCGGCTCAACAAGCACGAGGAGAGCCTGAAGACGAAGAAGTAGCGGAAGGAGCGGCCGTACCCGCTGCGCAAGTTCGCCATCAAGGCCTGAGCACAGGCCTCAATAAAACACAGAACTGGCTGGCCAAAACAAAACAAAACAAAAGTATGGCAATGTTAGTGTATCATGCCATAAACCATCTGTAAGAGGTTTATAGGTGTGTGGTGATATCGTCACTTAATATTTGTCATTGTGGGGCCGGCTGGTGGCGTGGTGGTTTAAGGTGCTGGACTCCCACATGGCCAACCATGGTTCAAGTCCTGAATCTGGTGGTTTGCTTTCTCAT